AACGCATAGCGGTTTTGATCACAAACCTTGACACGAGCTTCAACACGCCAAGAGCTGCACTTGATGCTCCGGAATAAGCTGCGTGAATGCTACGAGGACACCGATCTGGAGAGCCATCTGGCCATGATACCACTGTCCGTATCTGAAATGCACAGACTCAAGAACTGCGCGGAAAGTTACGAGAAAGAATACTCACAGGAATACCGGGTTTCTCAGAACGAAGTACTCGATCCAGTTCAGACCGAAAGCGATGATATTCGACACGCCAATGGTCACCACGATGAATTTCAGGGTCTCCACGGCACCCCACAGACGTTCCAAATATCTCAGAGATGCCGGGATAGTAAGCAATGTGAATAGAAGCTGCAGATGTTTAGCGTCTTGGCTCCGGACATGAGGGGGAGAACTCACCTCGACGATACTTGTCTCCACCAACGCAGACGTCACGAACGTCCAGGGATAAAATATACTTTGTCCTGGCACCAATACGAGGTATGGTGCGCTAAAGTTCTCATCCCCAGTCCACCAGAACCAGTAGAACAGTAGGGAAGTGACAATGGTAGCAAACGTGAAGGCACGCGTAACGGGTGGTATTGACTGCACGAGCTGCAGCGGTGAAGCCGAGAGGACAGCCATGCTCGACAATAGAGGTGAGTCAGGGCCGAGCTAAGGGTGTGAAGACCAATTGGAAGAGTGAGCTGAGGCCTCGAAAAGCAACCCTTGTGCCGACTGCGGTGGTGGACGCAGTGAGCACTTCGCCAGGAGGCGCGCCTACCCGGCGTGACGGCGGTCGGGTCCGCGACGCCCCGTGACGTCGTGACAGATTTGCTTCTCATTTCGACGCTCATCTCCAGCTCTAACGGGGCGATGTCAGACTATGACTTTCGCCCCACTGGCTCCCTCAAGCTCAAGGGAGGGGTCGCCGAGGGAGGAATTGTGAAGAAGTATGTTGACAGCACATCTCAAAGGCGTTGCATATTCATCCATTTATCAGGAAGAAAAAGTCCAAGAGCAAGGCCAAGGATAAGGATGACGAGTTCGAGAAGCAGCGACTTCTGGAGCTAGAGGCCGTTATGAGGGAAGAGGAAGGCAAGACGACCTCACCTGCAGGTAGTAGCAGGGCCTCGCCATCGGTCGTAAGCAGCGAAAGGAAGACGGCAGCTGAGAAACGGTTCGAGGAGGTGCAACGCAAGCGGGTGCGTGGCATATCCTCTTTGTCTGCATCGTTCACAATACCTATCTTTTGTTAGTTGGCAGACAAGGTCACGAAACTTGCCAATAAGACCCACAAGGATAGGGTCAGCGACTTCAACTCGAAGCTCGAAGCGCTCAGTGAACACCACGACATTCCCAAGGTATGCAACTCTTCATTTCGCGCTAGACTTAGCATTCTGAGAGTAACGGCAGGTTGGACCGGGCTAATGTCACGTACATATCGCTATATCACTGTCTTATTTCAATATACGCTTTCCCAAACATGACCCCATGGGGCTATGTGAACGGTGTCTGAGGGTGCATTTATGGTTCAGCATTGTATACGCATGGTCCATGCGCAGGCAACAAGTTTGTACTAAGTCCAGAGTGGTGTAAACAACGTGTCTGAGACGGGAGTTGTTTGCTCTTGTATGTTGAGCGTGACGGGAGAAGGATATGTCGGGGCAATTTAAGGCGTGACCGCTTCACCTGCTTCTTCCTTTCATGCCACTCTCTTCAACCACAACATGAAGGCAGACTCGGCAGACATTGATAACGAACCTAAGGGGCACATATGTCCTCCGTCAAACGCGAAGCATCCAAAAGACAGATGGGAATCTCTGTTTGTGTATGGGTTCATATGTCGCTTCACTGCACTGCGAGGCAAGGTTGAGGGGCTGGATTCACCCATGGAGTACGTACCCCAGTACACTGCTGAGCATTACCGGCACCTAACCTGCTATAAATATGCAGTTTTGAGACGTCGTTGATGAATACAGACATCGACCCCGTCATGACCCAGATCCTTTCGCGATTTGTGCTTAACTTGCGACCGCAGACGCGTAACTTGAGGTGAGCATGCGTTCGCACGATTCCTCGTCACGTCTCTAACTAAATCCACTGCGACCTGCCCCAGTTCCGACGTGATTACTGCCTCTATCGCCTCACTCATCCAGGAGCACATCAAGGGGGAGGAAAGGGGAGTATTCTGGAATGACGAACGGAGGACAAATGAGGATCCCTTGCAGGGTATAGAGAATGGCTTCTGGGGTGCTTCATGGGATATCAAAGTATGCGCTTATCCGAGCTCTCTTGTCGTTCTGGCTATGCTTATTGTATCCTACCACAGCTCAGGGTTCTGCGTCAGCTCGTGGAGTTCCAACTCTGCCACAGTCATGACATCAAGAAGATCATCGACAGAGCGTGGGGGTGTCGTACACAACAAGCATAAAAAGGCGGAGATGACCCCTTCTCGTCCCCCCGCTACCGACCCACAAAGCCAAGAGCACCTGCAACTCGTACCGCTAGGCCAAGATATACAGAGGAAGCGGTACTGGGTCATTGATGGTTCGTACGGCCCAAAATTTGCATTCTTCCCTCCGCCCTATATTTGCGCATATTTGCCTTCCTATCTGGAGC